GCCGGGCGGGCCCCGGGCTGGCGGGGCCGGCGCGCCGCTCGCGGCCCCCGGCCTGGGTGCGGGCTTGGGCGCGACGGCCGCGCCGGAGAGCGTCGACTCGTTCCTTCGCGCGGTGGGGGAGCGGCTGGCGACGCTGGGCATATCAGTGGGCGGCGCCCTAGAGGCAGGAATTCTGGGGGGCCTCACGCCCGGCCAGATCGCCACCCTCAGCGAGGCGCACGGCCGCGGCAACGCGCCGCCCACGCCGGCGCCCGCGCCCGCGCCCGCCCCCGCGCCCGCGCCCGCACCCGTGCCGGCAACCCAGGGCTCCCCCGAAGCGCCGGCGCCGGAACCAGCTTCAGCATCTGTGGCGGCGCCGGCGGGCGCCGCGGACGCGGCGCCTGAGCAGCCGTCGAGCACGGACGCCTTCGCCGGGCCCTCTGAGGCGAGCCCCGGCGGCGCCCCGGCCGCGGCAGGCGGCGCCCCGGCTGCATCTGGGGCCGTAGGCGGGGCCTCCGACGACGACGAGGCAGACCGCGTCCTGGACTCTCTGATCGAGCCCGAGGGCGCGCCGCCGCCCGAGACGCGCGCGCTGATCACGCCCCTGGACCCCAGGCGCCTGCTGGCAGACCCCCTGCTCGCGCAGCTGCCGTCCTTCAACGCGTTCACCTACGACTTCTTCGGCGACGTCAGCGGCGCGGGGGGCGAGCTGCTGGGGGGTGCCCTCGAGGAGGGCGGGGCGGGCGGGCTGGGGGGCGGCCTGGATCTTGATCTGGATCTGGATCTGGCGGCGCTGGGCGCTTCGGATCTGTCGGCGCTGGGGGACTTTGAGCCGTTGGACCCGGCGCTGCTGGCGGAGGCGTCGGAGGGCCGCGAGGACGGCGGCGGCGGGCCGGGCGCCGCAGGGCTGCGCACGTGGGGCAGCATGGAACCGGACACCTCGGCGGCTGCGGCAGCTGCGGCTGCGGCGGCGGCGGCGGCGGCGGCGGGATCGGCTGCGGCGGCGCAGGGCGACGAGGCTGGGGTGGGCGGCGGCGGTGGGGCAGCGGAGGGCTCGCTGCACGGGAAGCTGCATGGACTGTCGCTGGGGGCGGGCTTTGAGTGACCCGGGGCGGGTGGAGGGGCGCTGGAAGTCGGGACGAGAGGCTGGCGGCGCTGGCGGCCGCTGGTCTCAGGCGGCCGAAGGCCAGGGCGCGGCTAGGCCGCTCGCGGCCTGCAGGCCCCCGCTCGGGGCGCGGGGGCTGCTCACAACACACACTCAACACAGGAGAAGCGGAGAGGAGAGAGGGGCTGGACGTGCGCCGTCGTTCTCGCGGCGCTTGGATGCGTGACTTAACCCTGTGACACTGCCTCAATTGGAAAATTGACGCATCAAGGGCTCCTGACTGCCCTGACTCTAACCAAGACTCGCACAACATTTACCCGTTTTGTCGCGGCAAGGACGCCACCGTTGTGCCCAGTGACGCCCTGTGATTATGTGTTTGTCGATGCGCGCGCCCCACCTGCGCATGGTGGGTCAAATCTTGCCAGGGGCCGTGTCGGCCGCCTTCGCGAGCGGCAGTGTGCCAGCGCACCTGCCTGCATCGCGCGGCGCAGATGCGGCATAACGGCAGCGCTCAGCCCCGCGCGCGCGTCCGCGCGGCCGCCCATGGCCAGATGCCGCCCAATTGCATCAGCAGCCATTGGCCCCTCAACCACCCACCCATGTTTTCAAACAACTTGCTTGGATTTGCTCCGCCGCCGGGCGGGAAGCCGTAGGCAACCTACATTTGTGCAGAACGTTGGCTGGCCCAGACGCCGACCGCATTGCTGGAATATCCGGGCTGCCTCTGCCACTCGCCGGCGCGATCCTCGCCCTCGGCGCCCTTTGCAAGGACACGTGCCGTGTTTGCTTTCAGGCCTGTTCAGGTGTCGCACGGCGCGGGCGCTACGGCGCAAAGCCGCTTTTCGCGCGCCCTGCACGAGAGCTGTCTCTTTGTTGGGTAGTCGGCGCCCTCAATTCAGGGGCGCCGTGGTGGTCATGGGTGCTGTGACGTGGTGCCCTCTGGCCCTCTCGTGAGGCGCCTGCCGCAGTAGGCATGCCCCGCGCCATGGAGGCCCCAGCACCTGACTTGTCACTTGACGCATTGCTGGGAGCGGCCACGGCGCGCGGCGCCGGCACGGGCTGCTGTTGGCTAGCACCGTAGCTCCTGGCTTTGTTATTTTCGTGGGCGTCCTTCCCTTGATCAACCATTGAGTGGGTAATAAACCTCCTGGATGCGGCGCGGACCAGTGGCGCCGCGCGGCCTATGCGCCACGCCGCCCATCCACTGTCTGCACCAAAAGTACAACTGCCCTGTCAGACACCAAAGCCGCCAGCGCTTGCAGTTTGTGTGGGTCGGCCGGGCCCGTGCATCTCCTACACAAAGCACAATTCACTGCGAGCCTGCGGTCGCATGGCACACTTGCTCAAGTGGACATTGGCGCAAGCATCCCCAGTGACGTCGCTCAGCGGTCACCCTGCAGCCTGTCACTGAGTCACTTTCGGGCTCCGGCGCCTGTGCAATGTGGAGGCATGTGGATTGCGAGGTGCGACAGTCAGAGAAGAGAAAACATCGATACATCACGCCGGATCAAGCAGATCTTGATCTGCCGTAGATCAGCTCTTGCGGGTAGCATGCTTGTCTCCGAGATCGCGTGTGGAGTCCTAGTCGGCGTGCTGTGGGGAGTCACAAATCCACTTATCAAGCGGGGCGGCCAGCTCGTTGAAAAGCGCAAGGCAGAGGCGGCTACAAGTGCCGGTGGGGGGGTGCCTGGTTGGGCGGCAGATTGGGCCGCGCTGCTGTCCACGCCGTCCTTCCTGGTCCCTCAAGTCATCAATCAGGTACGCCGGCACAGGCGGCACCACAACAATTCGTGCTGCCTTGCAGACTGTCGGGGGCGGCTGGCCGTTGTGGGGCCGGTCGGTCCTTGGTCACTAACACAGCACTTGCATGCCCCAGGCCCGACCTCTTGGTTCCGCAGCACGACACAAGGCCGCAATCTGTTCCACGAGCTATCATTTCCACTGCGGTCGACGCGCTTCTGACAGTGGCACGGGAAGCTCCTGCCAGGATCGCCATGGCCGCAGCACGCCCGACCCTGCGCTCCCGTCGCCCCTCCCCACATGCACCCCAAATCGACAGTGCGGCAGCGCCCTGTTCGTGCTGCTCCTCGGCGGCGACGCCCGCCTGTCGACCGTCGTGCCCCTCGCCAACGCCACCAGCCTGGCGGCCAACGCCCTCGCTGACGTGGCGCTCGGCGAGCGCTACCGCGTGCAGCTGCTGCTGCCCAGCGTCGCCCTGGTCGCGGGCGGCCTGCTGCTCTGCTCCTCCGCATGACCGCGGCAGCTTCCGTGCAGCTTCTCTTACGCAGTCCCGGGCCACGCTGACAGCAGCAGCTGCACGCTGAAAGCAGCAGCTGAACGCTGGAAGCAGCGGCGCGCTCGCTGCCTTTCGGGGTCGGCAGCAGCGGTTTGCCCTGACAGCACCGGCGTCGCTGCGGAGTGGGAGCGGCGGCATGGTGCGTGTTGAAGAACTCACCGCAGCCGATGGCGGCAGCGCTGCCGCGGGCGACGGCAATTTTTCTGAGCACGGAGATGGCGATGGGGGCCCCCTTTCATGTTGGGAGGCGGGGCCGCCGGAAGTGGACGTGCCGATCGCTGACCTGGCGGCGGACATCGCAGCAGACATGGCGGCAGCCGCCGCGGCCGCCGAGGCGGCGTGGACCGCGTCGTCGGCGGCGGAGGCGGCGCGGCCGCCGGCGTCAGCCGTCGCAGGTCCGAGTGCGCTCGCCCCTCCGGCCGCCCCGCCCACAGCTGCCCCCACGTCCGCGCCCGCCCCGCCCGCCGGCGGTCCCTCGCCAGACGCCCCGCCTGCCCCGGCTTTGCCACCGCCGCCCGCTGCCGACGCCGCGGCGACGGCGCGCCGCGAGGCGTTCGCAGCGCTGCGGCCCGCCTGCTCCAAGCTTCTGCAGCGGCGCGGGGACGCGGCGGCGCTGCGCGGCGGCCTGTCGGAGCTGAAGGCCGCTGTCGCCGCGGCCCCGCTGGCGGGCTTGGCGGCCTGCTGGGATTACGTATCTTTCCCTTTGTTCATCGCCCTCGATTCGGCGGCCGCTATCCGCCGCCAGCGCGAGGCTGAGGCGGAGGCCGAGGCAGCAGCCGTCGCCGCCGCCGCCGCAGCCGGCGGCCGAGCGCAGCTGGCGGCCGTGCCGGCGCCGGCGCCCGCGGCCGCGGCGGCCGTGCCCGCGGCCGCCAGCGACGCGGTGGCGGAGGGGTTGCTGGAGTGCCTTCTGCTGCTGGTGCGGCGGGCGCCGCCGGGGGAGGCGGACCAGCTGGCGCCGCTGCTGGAGAAGCTGCTGCCCCTGGCGCAGCTGGGGCCGGCGTACGCATCTGAGGAGGTGGGGGCGGCCGCGGCGCCTGACGCTCGGCCGCGAGCCGGACAGCTTGAGTTGTGACGACGACTGCGAAATGACTAAAGGAAGCACGCGCTTCGCGCCCCGGAGGGCCATCATCAGAGCCCCACGCCTGAAAGCCAGTCGGGCGTTTTTCGCGCGGCCGCGGTGCGGCGCCTCTCCAGCCTGCTCATAACCCACCCTCCTCCTTCGCCACACTGATACGCATCAGACCCGTCTGAAAACCCTCGAGTGCCTCGAGGCCGCCCTCCTGCCCGCGGCGGACACCGCAACCGACCCTGGCCGCGCCGCCGTCGCTTCTGCCGCCGCCGCAGCGGCCGCGGCGCCCGCCGCGCCCGCGCTACTGTCGCGGCCGGAGGCGGCGCCGCTGGTCGGCGCGCTGATCGTGGCGTGCCTCTCTTCTGCAGAGGGCGAGCTGGCGCTCGGCCCCGCGGGGTCGCGGGCCGTGCGCGCGGCCGCGCTGCGGGCGACGCGCGCGCTGGTGCTGGCGGCGGCGGGCGACGTCGACGCTCTGGCCTTCTTTCTGCCAGGCCTAGTCAGCGGATTCAACAAGCAGCTGCTCGCGTCAGGTGACACTCGGTGACACTCATGGCCTTTGAGATTGGCTGTCGTCCCGACTTTGAACCCAGAGGGCGCACGCATGGGGGCGGCAGTCATGCGTGTCCACTCCTGTTCATGCATACTTGCATGCATGCACGCTCGTTGTCATGCCGACCTCTTCTCCTGACGGCCCATCTCGGCCCGCCGCCCTCCCTGCGAACACGCGCGCACGACGCCTGCCGCTAGGCAAGGGCGCCGCTGGCGCGGGGCAGACCGGCGCGGCTGCGGGCGCCGCCGCCGCAATCGCCGCCCTTGAAGGACTAACAGACGCCATCCTATTGGTCCTCGGGGACGCAGCCGTCGCGCCGCTGCTGGAAACGGACCCGGAAGCTGCTCGGCAGCTGCGGCTGCAGCTGGGCGGCGCGCCGCTGCCGCCGGTGGGGGAAGCGGAGGGGCCCGAGGGTGTGGAGCGCCAGGCGCTTGCGGCGTTGGAAAGGATGTCGCTGTCTGTCTTGGCAGACGGGGCCAGCGGCGGCACGTTTGATGCGCATCCACGGGCGCAGGATCAGGGGCAGCAGCAGCGGCGTCAGGCGGAGGACCAGCAGCAGCAGGAGCAGCGGCGGCAGCAGCAGCAGCAGGAGCAGCCGCGGCGCCTGCGGGTCAACCGGGACGCCGATTGGCTCGTCAGCACGAGCCGCCGCGTGCAGACCGTCCTCGCCCTCGCTCTGCCGCCGCTGATGACGCACCCGCGGCCGTCCGTGCGGGTGGCGGTCGCCGCCGCTGCGGCGCGCCTGCTGGACGGCGCGGCGGCCACGCTGCACGGCAGTTGGCAGGCGCTGACTGAGATCCTGCTGACGCTGGCTCAGGACGAGTGGCCGCAGGTCTCAGGGTTTAGTTGGCGCTGGCTCGCGGGGCAGCAGCAGCAGCAGCACGAGCAGCAGCAGGAGCAGCAGCAGCAGCAGCAGGAGCAGCAGCAGCAGCAGCAGGAGCAGCAGCAGCAGGAGCAGCAGCAGGAGCAGCAGCAGCAGCAAGAGCAGCATCAAATGCTGCTCAACGCAGGCGCGGGTGGCGGAGGCGGCGCGGCGCTCGGGGCTGGGGAGGAGGAGGGGGCCGCCGCTGGGCAGCGGCGGGCGCGGCTGGGCAGTCTTTTGGGATCGCTGGCGCGGGAGCTGCTGCCAGCCGTCAGGGGCGGGGCGGAGCGAGGGGCGCTTGCGGCGCGGCGGCTGACGACGGCGCTCATGTGTTCTGGTGGGTGGAGGGGCGTGTGCTTTTGGTGTGTGAGTGTGATTGTGTGTTGTGTCGTGCGTGTTATGTCTGTACACCGTATCTGTATTTGTTCGATTTGTGTTTGTTTTGTTTTGTGTGTGTGTGTTTGAGTGTGTGCGTGTGCGTGTGCGCACGCGCGTGCGTGCGCGTGCATGTGTGCGTGCGCGTGTGTGTGAGTGTGTGTGATCACACGAGTCTCAGTCGAACCCATCCGACCTGGTACACGATGCCCAACCCGGCAAGCGGAGGCCACTGCCGGTGGCGCAGCGGTCGCTGCCCCCACAACTGCCGCCCTCGGCAGCTGCGCCAACCAACTCCAACCACACCCTTGTCTGCCTCCAACGCCCTCCCCTCCTGCAGGCCCTGAGGAGGTGGCCGCGGCCCTGCTAGATCCGCCCTCGACACTAGATGACCTGGCGGGCTCGCTGGTGCGCTGCTTTGAAGCAGACCCGTCCGGCGCCGCCCTGCTGCTGCACGCACCCCCGGCGCCGGCCGGCCCGTTCGCCTCCGCGGCCGGCGGCGCGGCCGCGCCGGCGCCGGCGCTGCCGCGGATGCCGCTGGCGCTGGTGTATCTCGCCTCAGACCCGTCCTACTCGGCTGTGGCATCCGTGGCGCGGGCTCTGGGGCGCCTGGCGCGGCGCGCAGACCCCTCAGGGCTGCGTCACCTGCGGCGGCTGTTCGAATCGCTTGAGGCGCGGATCAAGGCCTCGCAGCAGCGCGGCCAGCAGCAGCAGCAGCAGCGGCAGCGCGCGTCGGCGGCGGCCGGCGGCCGGCGGCGCGGCGCCGGCCTCGGGGCGGAGGGGGCCAGCTGGCAGTGCGAGTGCACGGCGGCGGTGGCGGTCGCGAGCGAGGTGGTGTTTGGCGCGTCGGGCGCGTGGGAGGCGCCGCGGCCTGCGTCTGTGCAGGACGGGCGGCCGCGGCTCGAGGCGGACGGCGGCGCTCCTGAGACCTTGCCAGGGCCTGGAGCCGGTTGCGGCGACCTTGGAAGCTATCAGGACGGCGTGCCGGCAGTGGGTGAGGCGGACGCAGAGTTTGAGGCGCTGACGTGGCGCTTCCTTGAGATCATCACGAATGAGCGGCTGTGGGGCCAGCCCACCAGCCAGCCGCCCAGGGACGACGCCGCCGCCGCTGCCGGCGACGCCGAGGCAGCGCCGCCTCCACTGTCCGCCCAGCTGCTCGGCGAGAACGCGCTGCTGCTGCGCGCGCTGTGCGACGCTGCCGGCGCGGCTGCGCGCTGCTTGGGGCGCCGCTTCGCCGGGAAGCCGCTGCGCGCGGCGCTGCTGCCGCTGCTTGAGCGGCTGGGGGACCCGTGCGCGCTGGTGTCGGACGCGGCTGCCGGCGCGCTGGCCTGGGTCTGCATCGCCTGCGGCTACAACCTCGGATTGCGCGACCTCGTGGGCTCCAATGCCGACTACGTCATCGACGGCCTGTGCGCGCGCCTGCGCGCGCTGCGCAGCCGCGGCGGCGCGCGCGCGGCGCAGCTGCTTGCGGCGCTGCTGCAGCGGTGCGGGGTGGCGCCAGAGCTGCTGCCTCTGATGGCGGAGCCGCTGAGGGGCGCGCTCTCGGTGAGGGCCGCAAAGGGGGGGAGCAGGGCTGCCTATGAGCAGACCGAGGCCCCTTTTGGCAATGGGGCCACCCATGCAGACGCCCTAGCTTACTACAAAGGATTCCCCGCCTTGCTGACTGTGCCTCGCATCAGCATGGGGCGCCCTGCTGATTGACGCCTGGCATTGCACTGCGTTGTGTCACATGTTTGCACACCGTACCAAGGCATCCTGCCCCAGTCTGCGTTGACTTGCACCGCGCTTGACCCGGCATGTAGGCTGAAACTCTGCCCACCGCTCCCCGCTCTCCAACTCCCCTGTCCCCCCTCTCCACCGCCCCCAAGGCGCTGAGCGTGCTGGCGCGCCACGAGCAGCCGGGCCTGGTGCCGCCGTTCCTGCAGGTGCTGCGCTGCGTCGCGCAGGGCGCCGGCGCCGACGCGCGCGACCTCGCAGCCGCGTGGTGCGACGTGGACGCGCGCGCGCGCGAGGTCGCTGCGGCGGAGGGGCTGCTGGACGGCGACGGTAGCGGCGACGAGGCGGCGGCCGCAGCCGGCGGGGCCTCGGGGGCGGCGAGCGGCGGCGCCGGCAGCGGCATCGGCCCTTCTGAGGCAGCGCCGGGGATATTGGAGGTCCGAGAATACTTCCTGTCGCGCCTCGAGCGGCGGCGCACCGCCGAGGCTCTGCCTGGCGGCGTGAGGCTGCCGGCTGCCGCGGACGATGATGGCGTTGTGGAGGAGGCGGAGGGCGGGGACGCGGAGGAGGGGGACGGCGGCGGCGCGCCCAGGGTGCGCAAGCTGCTGCTGCCCGCGCCGCAGCTCGAGCAACTGGAGGCGCTCTGGCGCCGCGCGCATGGCGCCGCGTCGCTCGCCTCCGCCGCCGCAGACGCCGCGGCCCCGCTGCTGCTGCAGCACGGCCTGCGCAGCGCGGTGCTGGCGCACGAGGTCGCGGGCGCGGCGCTCCAGGCACTTGCGGCGTCCACAGAGGCGGCAGAGACCGAGCAGGCGCTTTTCGAGACCCTCCTGAGCCGCGGCCCCGGCGCCGCGCTGCGGCCGGTCCGCCCGGAGACGCCTCGCCTGCTGCCGGCCGTGGCGGCGCTGTGGGGGCCGCTGCTGGCGGCGCTGCGCGCCAGCTCGAGCGTGCCGCTGGTGGAAGCTTCCCTGCAGCTTCTGGCGAGGCTGACGACGCTGGCCGGCGGCCAGTTCATGGCACGGCGCCTGCAGCGGGAGGCGCTGCCGCTGCTGCTACGGCTGCTCAGAGACGGGCCCGCGGCGGCGGCGCGGGCGAACGCGCTTCTCGCGGCGGCGGCGGGGCCGCCAGGGGCGGGGGCCGGCCCGGGGTCCGACTTGGGGGGCGGGCAAAGCAGCGCGGACGCGCAGTCGGCGCTGCTGCGGCCGTCCCCTGTGGCGGGCCGCAGCTCCCTTCTGCTGGGCCTCGAGCCCGGGGCCGGCGCCGAGGCAGCTGCCGGCAAGGCGGCAGCATCGGGAGTAAGCAGCAGCGACAGCATGGGCGGCAGCGCCGGTGTCGGCGACCGCGGCGGCCACCTGACGCGCGCCGCGCAGCTGATGTCCTCGGCCGCCCTGGCCCCCGCCGACGCCGACGGCGGCGCGCTCGCGGCCGGCGCGCTGCGCCGCGTGCAAACGGCGGTGCTGCGCTGCCTCGAGCAAGTGTGCGCATCGGACGGCGCGCGGTCTGCGTTGGCGGGCGCCGTCTGGGACGTCGCCTCGGCCGCGGCGCCGTTCCTGTCCGACCAGCACCCCCTGGCCCTGCGGGAAGCTGCCGCGAAGCTGCTGGCCGCGGCGGCGCTGGCGGACGCGGATGCGGTGTGGCTGCTGCTGTTTGATCTGGCGGCGCATGGCGGCGAGGGTGAGGCTGCCGCGGAGCTTGGGGCGGTGTCGGAGAGGACTCTGGTACAAGCCATCGACGACGGCGGCGAAGGTGGAGGCACGGCACGTGTGCAGCAGCAGCAGCAGCAGCAGCAGCAGCAGCGCACTCAGAATTTGCAGCGCGAGCAGCTGCCGGGGTTGCAGCAGCTCCTGCCCCCGCCGGCCCGCACACGACCTGGCAGTGGCCGCAGCGGTCGGGGCAGCGGCGGCGGGGGCGGGGGCAGGGGCGGTGGCGGGCCCGCCCTGACACCTGAGCTGGCGCGGCAGTGCGGCCGGCGCGCAGCTGCGCTGCTGGCCCGGCTCGAGGCCCCGGGCGGGGCGTGTGCGCCTGGCGCATCTGCATGGGATGTGAAAGCCCTCCGGCAGCTCGAGCTGTACTCGAGCGACGCGGCCGCGTGAGTGACACACCGATGCACTCCATGTCCCTTTGTAACAGCGTATGACCTGACAACAGTGCTGCCTCAGCGTATAAGCGCCCGGTTCTTTGGACTCCTCCATGTATATGCCCACAGCTCCAGGGGCGCAACGCAACTTTGCGTGTTGCGTGTAGGACGTGATGGTGACGTGTTCGTGACAGGGTGCGCGGTCCGCATAGGCGCTCGCAAACGTGGCGAGCACCGGCAGACACGAATCACAATGAACAGCCAGATGCCCTCTGCAACGGCACCGCAACAGCCCTGAGACACCCTGCTTAGGCAGTGCCTTGGCAGCTGTCAATGGATGACTGTGCCAGGCGCAACAGCCTTGTGCGCAACCACGTCGAGGGCCCTGCCCATCGTGTCTCCTTGTTAAGTATAAACTGTTGTATAAATTTATACTAACTGCATCGATAAGCGCGACGTTGAACACCTGCACCGCTTATGCAGATCAGAACGATCTCGCAACGCGAGAACAAAATGAGAATTGTTGCACCGTAGATATAGCTATCAACAAACTTTGATTTTTCGTGTTGCTAGCCGGGGCGAAGTGTGCCTCTAGGCTCGGCCGCCGAGCGTGGTGCAGTGCTTTGACAGCGGACCACTGCAGCTGCAGTGCAGCATCGCCCGGCTGCTGGGCCCCGCCGCTGGCGCCGGGCCAGGGCCAGCCCATGGTCTCCCGGTGCATACTAGCCATGGCGACGAACTCGCTTCCTAGCTCGGTGTCGCCAGCCCTGAAATTCCAGGTGAACAGAGGGAGCTTGCACCAGCTTCGGGGTCCTCGCCTACTCAGCAGCAGCATGGGCATGGACCTCCCACTTCCATCTGCCCCGTCCCGACGCATGCATTTGCACGCTCACGCCCACGCCCACACCCACGCCCGGCCCACAACACCCCCAACAGGTGGTGGCGCAGCAGGGTCGCGCGCGCACGGCTCTGATGACGCTGCCGCACTATGTCGTGGAGACCCCAGTTTTCATGCCCGTGGGCACCAAGGTGTGCGGTGCCTAGGGCCGGGTGCGACACGACTTCATGACTACAGCCCCATTATACATTTGATTCAGTGTGCATCTGCACCCATTCCTTTGGCCGGAATGCAGAAGCAGTGCCGAGCGGCGCCCCAGCCCGAATACATCAAAACGGCAACACCATGCCGCATAACCGCGCCCCCCGCATGACCCGCCGCGCTCCTGATCCGCTGCAGGGCACGGTCAAGGGCTTGACCACCGAGCAGCTGCAGGATCTTGACTGCCACATCATCCTGGGCAACACCTACCACCTGGGCAACCAGCCGGGCCACGAGCTGGTCAACTCGATGGGCGGCCTCCACGGCTTCATAAACTGGCCGCGCGGCATGCTGACAGACAGCGGCGGCTTCCAGATGGTGTCGCTGCTGCACCTGGCTGACATCACCGAGAGCGGCGTCGAGTTCCAGTCGCCGGTGGACGGCAGCCGCATGCTGCTGACGCCGGAGGAGAGCATGGCGATCCAGAACGGCCTCGGGGCCGACATCATAATGCAGGTGGGGCGGGCCGTGCCGCGCCTGGGCGGCGGCCTTCCCAGGGAAGCGGTTTGCCATGCAGCCAGCCTGCACTACTCATTCATGTGTGCATGCAGCTGTCTGTGAGCAGGATCGACGCCAGCCTTGTGCTTTACGGCCAAGTCGGGCGCCGACTTGCTGTACCCAAACCCCTGAAAACTCTGCGGTCTGCAGCCTCCCGACGTGCACACCCCTGCCCGCCGCCGTCTCCACACCCACGATACACCACAGTTGGACGATGTCGTGCCGGCCACCAACGTGGACCCCCAGCGGTTTGAGGAGGCCACGTACCGCACCACGCGCTGGCTGGACCGCTGCATCAAGGCGCACAGCCGGCCGAACGAGCAGGTGGGCGCCTCGGTCTCACCACCGCAACTGCGCCCCTTTTGACCCCTTGCCATCATGTTGCTCGTGATGTGCAAGCGTGACTATCCAGCCACACCACATGTAGACACATCGGGCAAGTGGCGCCCTCCGCCTTGCTCATCGCACCTGCCGCCCTCACCAACTTGCGCGCCCCGCAGAGCCTGTTCCCCATTGTCCAGGGCGGCTTTGACGTGCGGCTGCGGGACATCAGCCTGCAGCAGCTGGTGGAGCGCGACTGCCCGGGCTACGCGATCGGCGGCCTGGCGGGCGGCGAGGGCAAGGACGTGTTCTGGCGCGTGGTTGCCCAGAGCACGGCGGGGCTGCCGCCGGGCAAGCCGCGGTACGTGATGGGCATCGGCTACCCCCTCGACATCGTGATCTGCAGGTGGGCGGGCGCGCGCAATCGGACGGTACGCCGCACACAGACGGGTGCGTGAGCGTGCATCCAGGGCCAGGAGGGTTCAGGCCCTGGGTGTGCCGGACGACGGTGGGCGCGGCGCGCTCAGGAGGTGGGGAGCGCTGGGCGGGGTGCAGGCGGGGCGCAGCCCGCGCGTCAGGCCCTCTGCCGGTCAGAATGGGGAGGCTGCGGCGCTCAAGACCGCTGAGCCCAATCGGCCTCTACCTCCGCGCCTCGACCCCGCCACCGTCCTTCACCAGGGACACACACACACACACACACACACACAC